GAGCATGCGAGATACAACGAAACGCAGTGCAGGAACGAGACGTACAATACGAACGATCAAGTACACATGTATACACGCACACCGGAGACGATTCGTCCGTGCAGATTCTACGGTATAAAATTAAATGGTGTTCGGTAGGTCTATTTCACTCGGGCAGGTAGCGGCCACTGGTAATTACTACCTATGACTTGGGAGCTCAGAGATAAAATGAAAGGCTCCGGACGATTTTCGAAACCGAAATCCTGCGTCGGTCGCCGATTCGATGCTGCTGCTGTTGCTCCCTTTTCTATCCCTCCCTCTTGCCAATTCTCGCTCGTTCTTTCTTTCCTTCTGCAATTCGAAGTAGGATCGCGCGAATCGATCGCGCCACTTGATTCTCGCAATCTGCGATGATGAACGAAATAAAAAGATATAAAAATTTATAATCCATTATTTTTCCTATTAATATGCAAAATACGAGAGATTACGTAATCAATTTTACAAAATTATTGCACCCTTGTTTCGTGTGTCTCCCTTGTCCTTTTTTTCCCTGCATAAATACGTCGATTATTCAAAATTGCGCGAGTTGTTTAAAGCAACGTAAAAATTACTTTGTTAATTTAGTTAATTTAAATGGAGAATTTTCGTAGGCACATTGTCCCTTTCCAATTAACATTAGCATATAATGATAAGATACGAGTACTTTCATCGATGTTTCCCGCTGTGATGCCAGACGGTAGCAGGTTAGCAATTAAGATATTAAAAGAACACCTCTCTTCCGTAGGTTTACATAATCATAGCCGAGTATAATTGCGTATTTACATAATTACATACATACCGTCCACACGGTTATTCCCCGCCTATGTTTAGTCTGCTAATGAAATCGATGATAATAATCGATTTGTAGATAATTTTGCACATTTATCTGCTTTTTAAATCTTTTTATTATTCTCGAGGTAAATACAATAGTTACCAGTTTCAGATCGATCATATATCAAACTCTGTTATCGTGTATTTATAATTGTTTCTAACGATAAGATGATGCTGATGTTTTTAAAGATACCTTTACATATAAAATAATTTAATAAAAGAAAATTAATATTTTTCTTTAATAAAAAATCATTTTTTATTATTTAATTTTGAAGAGTAACGAAAAAATTCAAAGCAGCGTTGATTATTCATCCAATAAAAATCGCATCGAACGGCTTTTCGAAAATTTTCTGGTCATCAGATCTGGTTTTCGCGACTCGGCAAATAAATTCTCTCGGAAGGAAGCAAGAACAAAGAAAAGAGGAAGACTCCGGAAAGGACACGGTAGAGTCGTTTCTCAGTATGCGTTCCGCGGATGTTTCTTTATATTTTTTTTTCGGACAAATTATTCGTACTTCTCGCTAGTGCAAGTTTCACGGGAACGCGTATATAAAAGTAGGTGCACCGGGGTATGGCTCGCTGCACCTTGGCTATGCGGAAAGGAAAGGCTCTTCTTCAACGACGAACCAACGTGCATGCACGCATACAAACACGCGTGCAACTCGACATACATCGAAAGCCTTCGCTCTGTTCGTCTCTCGAGCACGTATATATGTATGTATAACCTTGTGTTGGTAGATATAAAGAGGTGTACATGTTCTGATGGCAACGGTAACGCGTCTGCGATGGATATAAAATATTCCGTGAAACATTTCAACTCTAAATATTCAGAAATTAATTCCCTGAAACTTGGGTTAGATTCCAGTCTGATTTCATTGTGAGAAAACGACTCGAAAATTAAATTCGTACGCCTTTTCAAAAGTATCTCCCTGCAACTCCGTCATTAAAAAGGCAATAACGCAGTCGGGTATAATTTAAGAATCTTATTTTTCAATGTAAATCATGAAACCTGTTTAAAGGACAATGGAGTTATTACAATGCGCGCGTAATGTGCGGTTAGAAAGGGATGAACTTTCAACTTAATAACCGCGAAAGCGAGTGCCGCTACGAAAGACGAAAGAAACGAACGCTCCGAAGGCACGGTGTCAGGATGGGGAAGTGGCCGCTAATACGAGGTGTCCCCCACCTTTATTACACCTCGACAGCCCCGGGGAACTTCAATTATCGCTGGGTGGCGGTCGACTCCGATCATGTGGGAAAATACTGGGATAGACAGACTGTCTTTTTTCAACGATGAACGCGAAATTAAGCCGTTGCGAATTGATCGAATTCGGGTTACACACATTTTTTTAAGCTCAACGAAAAATATTTTTGAAGTAATAATTAAAAATAATATATTTAACTTTATAATTAAAATTTATTTCTATTAAACGACAATTAAATATTCCAATGTCATATATGTTTTATTATTATCTTTGCTCCTCTCTCTTGACATGCATTTTATTTAAGAAACAAACATATAATTTGTTTATTATAACGTCATTAATGTATATTAAATTACGAAAATGGCGTGTTGTTAAAGTATTTTTACGCCTCGTTTTTCAATCCAGTGCCGAAATTTCGTGAGATATTCTGGTCGCGTCTTACGAACGATTCCCTTGAATAACTTTCGCCGTAAGCGCCCATCCGCGCGCTGCGTCCAGAAGAGAGGCTCTTCCGCGTCGGCTAACTTAAAGCATCTCCAGCTTGCCCGTCGTCCGGCAATTTCTTGTCGGCACGTGAGCCGACTGTGCAAAGTTTGCGGAGCGCGCGTTTGCAAACGTCCGTTGCGCGCGCGAGCGAAAATAAGAAGGAGAAAGAGGACAAGTCTAACGCTGTACCGCGTACGGAGGCAAGAGGTTACCGGCGAAGCCGAGAGGGCCTCTAGAATAAGTATGCTCGGCTAATAAAACGCGTACGCGGGTCGTTACACACGGCGTTCGCTTTCCAAACAAACGCGCGGCTCTCGTCACCGCGAGCACGGAAACTCGTACGATGCCAGGATTTATCGCCAAGCGATTCATCGTTGTAAAAACGAAACGACGTCGAACATCGTGATCAGGAGTATGGTCAATTTTCCGATTTTCAGACAAGCGAAAAGCATCGATCGCTTTTAATAGATCTATATATATATATATATATATGCTATGCAACCATAGTTATTAGCATCGGCGAATAAGTGGACTTAATTAATATTATTTTATATATTTAATATAATTTTATATAATATATTTAATTTTTATATTTAATATAATTATATAGTTTTATATAATTTTTATATTTAAAATATATAAATATAAAATTCTTCTATCGAAACATTACATTATCTATTATAGGATAAAGCTAAAGTTTGATACATATAAGAAAACATATGTAACGATACAATATTTATAATTTTTCTAAATGAGAGGAATATGTGTTTTTGCACAACTTTGATTTGTAATTCTATTTTTTGTAAATAATTTGAAATGTCTCTAAATATAATTCAGCTATTATTTGTTAAAATATTGAGCTCATGTGACATTTCGAAGAAACGACAGCTGACTCACGCGCTCTTTCCATCTTCTTTTAAGGATTTCTTAAAGTTGCCCCAATGTGTACATTACCGCGCATATATCATCACGTTGGTCAAAGGCACGAAATTACGCGACTTGAGCGAATCTCTATACATGTCTTCAAACGCACACAAGATCCGATTCTTATTACGACGTCTATTATCGTTAAACGACTCTTCCGTCTTTCTTGTATCACATGATTGTCATCCCGCGTCAATACGCTTTTCATCTATTCAATTAATTTTCATTTATTCTCCGATTTATTCCCGACGTTTCCCGAACTGAAGAGCCGCGAGAACTCGACGCGCCAGACCGTTAAAATGTCACTCGCGAAACGGTCTTATGTAAGATAGAAGGAAGCGCGTTATGGAAAGCGCAAAGGCCAGCAGACGATCCTTTGCGCGCTTTCTACCTTCGATCTTACTCTTACGGTAATTACGTAGGCTCAGACATACACGCACATACACACACAAGCATGCACACCCACATCATGCTAACATATCTGCACACGAGCGGTATATAATGCGGTTCTATACTCCCACTTGTATCCCTTTGAGCGAATTAAATTTTAACAAAATCACTTTCACAAGCTTATATAAGCTCCGTCTCTCACTTGCAGTATTTAATAGTTATTTTTTTATAAATATTTTTTATTTGATTCTAGATTTTCATTAAAAAAATTAATAAATAATGTGACATAAAAAGAGTAGAATAAATTGTATATGTTTAACATCGCGGTTTATGTACCTTACAATTAGCTAGTTATTTGTCATTTCGATTATTCTATTCGGTTTCTCCCATGTCCCCTCTGATTGGAATTTACGAGGAACTCGGATGCACAAGTGTGCGAGGGAGAAGTGATCGCTCTTATCGTCTTGCGTAGAATGCACGATGCGTATCGCGCGTAACGGCATGCAGTATTGACGTGGCGAGCTCGAAAATTGGCCGACCGCGCGATTGCAGTTTCGAAACTGCTCGATTTCTTTCCCGAGATTGGCCCCAAGTTGCCGCTCCTGCTGCTGTTGCTGCTGCTGCATTCGGTGCATTCGCCCGAGGGCCCCGTCTATCTCTTTCTCCTTAACACGAGACTTCCGTTTCCACGATACGCAATAATGGACAGTAACCCGAGGCTTTTCAGGCTCCCTGCTTGGCACAGAAACGGGGAATCAAATTTTATGAAAAAGCCTTTCACAATGCTGGAAGGGACTCGGCATTTTTTTTATCTCCTATTCTCTTCCCACGTTCATTTTCCCTCAATTTTACGATTTATGTAACAATGATTAACATGTAAGTTTCGATAACGTTTAACAAATCGTTGCATAATTTGTTATCTGAATACATTAATCTAAATATTAATTGTTTTAGAACGATAAAGAATGTATTGTATGATTGCGAGAAACATTTTCTTTTGTTAGATACTAGACATTCTTTCAATGTATTGCGTAATCACGATATAAATGATGTTAGTACAGTAATTGCAATAGCAATAATAATTATACATGTCGAAATCGTATAGTATGTCAGTTTTTAAAAACATTTCCATTTTTATTGCCGCAGGCGACAACCGCGAGCGGATACTTTGAGGTGCAGATCCTCTCGCTGACGAACAACAGGGGCACCCTGGTGGACGGTAGGTGTTGCGGCGGGGGAGGCGGGGGCGGAAAAGGAGGATTCCCACCCTGCACGACGCCCTGCTCGACGGCCTTCTGGCTCTGCCTCAAGGAGTATCAGTCGAATGTCACCGCCATCGGCTCCTGTAGCTTCGGCAATGTATCTAGTCACGCTCTCGGCCCGAACACCTTTACTCTCACCGAACCCATCACCCTACAACTCCACTTCACCTTCCGATGGACGGTGAGTTATTACTTCAATCTACATCTGAATTTATTTAGCGCGATTGTCTTTTATAATTTTAATAATGCAATAGTATGTGTAATATTGTGGAATATGTTACATTATATTTCAAATCTGTTTTATTTAATTCGAATTTATACAAAGATCTTTCGTTTTACGATGTTTGTTAATATTATTATGTTATTTGGCAAACTCGCTATTCGAAATGTCAACATTGTCGGATAAGAATCAGATGGTCGCATTTAACGCTAAATACGCGTCGAGAGGATCGAGGACCGCGAGAGGACAGGCACTCGAAGAGCAAAACACACGCGCGGCATCACCTAATATCCGTGAGAACGTCGGCTGAAAATCCCAACCGGTCGCCGTTACACGTATATGAGGCGCGACGAGGCTTAATTCGATGTCCCGCGCGCGATTAATAACGCGCGTCGTACGGTGTATGTATATACAGGACCGTAATTTTGTTTGGTCACCGGCACAATGGCCGCCGTGCCGAAAGAACGGACGGGCGAGAGGATGAAGCCGTAACGAGGAGACGACACATTCGGGGACTCGCGAGAAAAAAAAAATCAGCCGCCACGAATCCATTTATCATCGACGTCGTGACACGACGGCGGCGTCTCATTAACGACGCCGCCTCCCGGACATTGACGTCTTTTCTTAAGTTTGAGCTTTCATTCCCGAAATCGCCGAAAGCCAGGTGACGTGAATCGCGGCGAACACCGTTCTTTCGCAAACGCTAACGACTCGCGCGAGTAAGATCAGGCGGTCGTGGTGGCTTATAGCTTGCATTTCATCGCTGGTCGGACGAATCGCAAATTTCTAGAGCCGATTTCTTTGTCTACGATGAGGCGAGGAGGCGCGCGCGAGAGAGAGAAAGAGAGGGAGTTATCGAATCCGCGCGAGGGATTTCCGGTCCGCTGGTCTCTCCCATCCAGCGCGAGTCGTTGCGTAAAATTCCAGTTTGGTTCCAGTCGCTTGGCAACTCCTCATCGTCGATTCCTCCTCCTCTTCCCTCTCGTTTTTTTCCCGTGTCCTCGCCCTTTCTTCCTCGTCCTCCGTAAACTCTCGCGGCGAATTTTTTACGATCGTTCATCCACGTTGAATTTTTATCCCGCCGCTTCTTCTGTAGTTATGAATCGGTTCGTTCGGCTGTGATTCTGCGTGCGAATTTCTCGTATACTCGATATCTGAAGAAGATTGCGTGGGCATATTTTACAAATTTCCTAATTGTATGTTTTCGTAAATGATAGAGATGATTGTCCTCTATTTAATCGCGATGAGAGAAGGATTCATAAATCATGCGTGACTAAGAGAAAGAAATTTTGAAGAGTTTTAAAGCTTCTTTCTCTCGAGATGTCATCATTATATTATTGTTATAATATTAATATAAAATGCTCTGTCATTACAAAATATAGTTACAACACATTATCACATGCTGCATTGTACGAGAGAAACTCTTTTTTTTTTCTTTTTAAACGGTGCCCGAAGAGTCTTGTACTCAATTAGCAGCGCGCCGCCACCTACGATCCGACCGTTGTCATCGTCGTCGTCTAACGTAATTACGGCATAATGCGCGAGCGATTTCGAGGAGACCCAAACAGTCCTCTCGAGAGACGTTGGAGTGCGCATGCAGGCGTGCCCTTGCGAGTCTGGTATACACACAGGATCGTCGAGAGTGTCCCCTTGAGACAACGATGGGTTCGGTGGGTGCCTGAAGGGGCCCCGAAGGGGTCCGCGTTCGTGTCCGCGCGCGGATGGACACGTATTCGAAAAAACGTACCCGTGTACCTACCTACCTATCTACCTACCTACCTACCAACCAATCTACCTACACGCGCCCGTGTCGTCGTAGATTGTTTGAAGAGCTCCAGCTTCTCTCTGTTTGTATATTTCATAACTCGCTCGCGGGTATCTTCCGAGAGGACCCATCGCGACAAAGGAAACTACGAGGAGGCTCTGTTTTTCCTCTCTTTTTCTCTTTCATCTCGAAGGACCGCCGCTGCGAGTTTATAATAAACAGAAACCCTTAAATTGCTTCCTTTTCTCGTGAAGGGCTTCCTCTCCCGTTTTCGACGCGCTACCTTCGATCGTTTAGCGCTTTGCCGGTCTAATTCAATTATGCTGCTCCGCTGATGCGTAATAAAAGAGAAAGAATATATAGAAAGCGTATACACGTGCGTCAGAGAACGCAATGTTTGTATGCGCGTCGAGTATGAGGAGATGACAGAATAAGGAACGCGCAGAGATAAAAGCTCGGATACCTCGGTACGTCTGGGTACGCCACGTATTTGCGTCGTATAATAGCTATACAACCGTTTTCACGTGCTATGCCTACATCGAAAAACGGTAAACCGCTTGACTTTCATCGTTCTTGCGCGGATAATGCCGTCATTATCGTCTCCGCTGATTGAATACGGTATATACAATCTCGTCCCTCGTCGACGCGAGTGAGCGAGGAACATTTGCGCGCACGGGCTACCGAATGCCACCTGCGTTTCACGGCTGCCTCGAGAGAGTATATTTACGGGAGATTTCTTCTTCTCCCTCCGATATAAATCCCGCGATTTTCATCAGTGCCGGACGAATCATCGCGCGTATTTTAATTCACTCGTCACGTTTTCCGCAGAGCTCGAAATCCGAAAATGTAGTCTCTCAGATCGCGCGAATCATCAATCGCATACACCTCGTACATAGTTACTACCTCCAAGTTTGAAACATCCGAATCTCATCATCGTGAAATAATTGGATCGTTGAATCCATTAGACGCACACATGTATGAGGAAACATATATATGTAAGTAACGTTCAACGTCTTATTACTCGAAAGATTAGACGAGGTTCCTTTGCGGTACGCGGTGTAACTTTCGATAAGTTACGTACGCGGATATCGCCGAGGCAATCGCAAGAGTTTTCTAATAGCGACCCAGTTTACGCAAACGTGATGCGATCGCGATAGCAGCAACGTCAAACGTGTTGTGATCGTCTCTCGTCGTCGACTTTCCCCGCTTCTAATTTCAATATCGATGTAAGGCAGAACATGTACAGCCATATCTCTCTTTCTCTGTCTCTCTTGTCTCTCCAGTAGTGGTATAATAGCACGGGAAGCGATCGGCGAATGTATGTACGATGGAACTTTTGCACAATCTTCTCCTCGGAGCCGTATGCATCTTCGAACAGCGCGTTTCGTGTCTCCTTTCTCTGACGTTCTCCTTTCTCTACGCATCTCTTTCTCTCTTATTCTCTCTCCTCGTGGGACTCGAGATCTCTTCTTTGTCTCTCTCTCTCTTTCTATTCTTGTAACAGATGATTCCTCCTCTCTCTCATCAGCTCCTTGTTCGTCCTCAATAATTTCTCTTCGACCGATGCGACTCTATGAGCTCGAATATACGATTCACATGCGACGAGCACTCATATATATATGTATGCGACCTGTCCGCGCGTTTTATATGCACCGGCACGCACGACCGGACGCATTGGAGAACACATACAAATCCGCACGCACAATGTCTCCAATCTGAGCGCCGCCTATGAATGGTGAAACGTCATCAGACGCCGCCGGATCCACGTGGACGCTATTTAAGAGTAGCGTGCGCCCATTTATTCGAGTAATTTGACGAATTTTTTAAATTTCACGCTTAGCGAGCATATAGTTAATTGATATTTCGTACATGGAAAGAAGCTCTACAAATTTGTATTAATATGTGCATAATATATAATTCAACTATAATAGATTTCTAGAAATCGCTTATATTATCATTAACATCGGTACAGTTATAGAGACAAAAAGAAGATGCCCCCGGATTGAATCGGAAACCGTGTCCGTAGCCATCTCCTTTCTCCGGTCACGTGATTAATTCCGACAATCATAGTTTCGATAATAGACGTATAATGATAAACGATGTTCGGCCGAGCAGCATTCATCATGGAAGATGCTGCGACTGGTGGCGAGGATACGAGGAGAAGGAACGGGGAACGAAAATGAAGGAGCCTGTTCTTTCCCCTTCTCCTCTGAGACGCGTCGCGGAACGCCGCGGGGATCGAGCAACGTGAGTCAGGGACTCAACAGGTGTACATCCGCGTCTCGAAAACGGGCCCCGCGGCCTTATAAGCGTTTTCCATTCCGGTCGATATCTTCGTTCACCAACACTAACGCGCGTTCCGAAATTACCGCTATCGATTCTTCGAGCATAATTTTGAGACGGTCAATTTTATTTTATTTCTAGTTGAAAAGCAAATTTTAAAAAATATCATTCGTCTTCTGAGCACATTTTTACTTAAGGAAGGGGTCTTCGAAAATTGCTCACCTCGCATTTTTGTGTCCATTGAAAAATAAAAATGATTCTGCGGAAATTATGAAATGTAATGACAATGATCTCTCTTCTTTTTGCGCGAGGATAACTTTCGCACGTTTCGCTGATCTCGCGAAATTAGCGGCCGCATCGCGCAAACCGCACTGCATCGCAACGCGCGCTTAATAGCGTCATGAATAAACCGCGCTTAAGCCCGCGAGCGGCACCTACGGTTGTTCAAATATATTAGCGCCGTTAATACGCGATGCTAACGCGAATAATGAATAACGCTCGCGGGATTTACATCGCGGTCGTCCGTGCGTCGCGCATCCCTGCTCGGCTGCGTGTGCGTCTTTTTCTAATCGCACGTAAATTGCACCATTTCGAGACGCGGAAGCGCGAGCAATTTGTCAAAACTTCCGCGCGAACCGGTCTTGAGGAGGAGACCCGGTCGCCGGCGATCCGAAATTGCTCTCTTTGCGCCATCGTCCAGATCGCCCGCGGGGTTTACAATCAACTCAGGCGCGTCGTTTCGCCGTCTTGAGATTTACGTTCGTGCGAATTAAACATTTCCTGATTGTCGATCTTCTTTCGATTGCCGATCGGCCCTCAACAAAGACGATCTCAAGACGAGCTGGACGAAAATCAACGATCGCGACGCGACACTCGAGCTACTCCCACGTCTACCGGCATTAATCTTGATTCC